CTTTGCCTCCTAGTCGAAGTGACCGGCAGCTTTTCGCGACCACTTGCGCCAGAAAAAATTTGACAGCCTTTGCGCGCTTACCAAGCTTTCCCGGTGGATAGGTTTCAGTACTTTAACACCTACTTGGACGGGGAACATGATACTAGGATTTCAGCCTTCCAGCTTCTCAGATCCTCGAGTTGTGAAGGGACCAGCAGCTTTCTCCGACTACTTTGCCTTCTAGTCGAAGTGACCAGCAGCTTTTTCTGGCTACTTTTTCTCTCAGTTGAAGTGACCAGCAGATTTCCCCGGCTACTTTACCTCTAAGTCGAAGTGACCGGCAGCTTTTCGCGGCCATTTCTTTCCAGTTGAAGTGACCTGCAGCTTCCCCTGGCTACTTTATCCCGTAGTCAAAGTGACCGGTGGTTCTCCCCAACTATTTTATCCCCCAGTCAAACTGACCAGTAGCTTTTCCTGGCTGCTTTGACCAGTGCCACATCGTTTGGTGACCAGCGGGTTCTGATGTTCGCTTTTCCTTCTATCTCTTTATTGGTCCTCCTGACAGAGCCGGCTCGGCCAGGCTTTGGCCTTCTCAAGATGGCTTTTGTCCTGTGTTGGTCATCGTTCGGAGCTTTGCCAAGGAGCATATGGGCATTTGTCGTCTTGAGGCCAGATGTATTTTGCTCGGATTTCTTTTCATTTCACTGCAACCTCGTTCTCGAGTCGTCCAGTCATTTTCTAGGCTTACAGTGGTCAGTCTTTTGTGGACTGTGGTCATCTCGACCACCTTGCCCCTTTTTTTGTTTTGGGCTGCCTTACGCAGCCTTGCTACTGTTACATCTCCCCGCAATTTCTTCCGCCCTTCTTTCCACTCCCTAACTCCTCCAGCCGGCCCAGGTTTGCCCCAGTGTTACAGGTTTTGGCATTGCAGACTCGAGTGAAGCGGGTTATGCAGAGCGATGAAGAGATTGGCCGAATGGTCGCATCGGTGCCCGTAGCAATTGGACGAGCTATGGAGCACTTCGCAGAAAAGCTTCTGGAAGCAGCTGCTCGATGCGTGCAGACTTCCCCGTCGCGCACTCTTTCGCCACAGCATATGTAATTTTCACTTACTAATTTTTTTGTGAATTATTAGACCCAAAAATGATCTCGTTGTTTAAGCAAACACAGTTCGTACACTAAATTCTGATCGGCATATTCAGGATCTCTGTCTGCATGAGTTCACTGCATAATAAGTAACAGCGCGCACCAGAAAAGCCGGTGCGATTATGCGTTTTATGCAATTCCCCCACCAAACGATTGCCTGCTAATGATTTTCACAGCTCTGAATTTAAATTTTTGGGGGAGGGGGTACACGTCAACAGGGGACAGTCTCCCAAAATTTCAGCTCCCTAGATTCCGCGGTTTACGAGATGATAATTTACCAGCCAAAAGTTTCATCGGGCCGTGTATGTTACCCACGGGGACGGGAAGGCTGAATTTAAATTTTCTAGATCGCACGTAGGCATGGAGCATACCCATAAAATTTCAGCTTCTTGGCTTCCGTGATTCCCGAGATAATAATTATCCTCGCCAAAAATTTTATGGGGCCGTACGTGTTACCCGTAGGTATGCGGTGGCTGAATTTAAATTTGCGGGTGTGACACATGGGTTGGGAACATTCTCCTAAATTTTCAGCTTACTAGCTTTTGTGGTTTCCGAGTTGAAGAGAGCAGACAAGCTGCAAAGCTGAAATTTCACGGAGATATTCGTTATCCT